CTTATGTTGTAATATACATGGCTCTAATGAGAGCAACTAAATAATAGAAATAGTTAAAACTATATGTTTTACTGAGCACAATATAACTGATCATATATTAACTCCTTTAAACACGGGGGCCTGACTCTTCCGAGCATGTGTACAGTTTCATTGAGTTACGTTCAAAACTTAGTTAACTTTATTATCAATGTATGTCAGTAAAATTAGTATTACTTTAGTTTTTTATACTTTTCTTATTTCTTTTAATTTGAAAAAATCTATAAAAAAAAATACATTAGTCTGCATTTCTGTACATCGCAAGACACATCTGTAAACCCTAAACTCTCCTCTTTTGGTTTGTACATCTTCAGTATTATACCATTTACACTATCTGACTTATCTTAGATACAATTTGTAAGCAATTCCAAGGTTGAGTGTACAGTTTTCTTATGATTTATAAATTTCATACAAGTAATGATAAGGAAATTGAAGCTATGGTAACAAATAATTTATTCAAAAGAAGAAAAATTATCATTCGTTTTATTCCTTAATTTTCAAACTTTCCTATCACTGTATATTGATGATTCAGCTACATTTAGCGTTAGGGTAGAGAAAATAACATATACATATATAAAATATATTAATAAATGAATTATGAAAACACTAAAGTGTTTTTATTCTTAATCTAAAAATCATCTCACACTTATTTTGATACAGTAAAGGCTTCAGACATTTACAACAAACAATACTGTTCAATTGTTCAATACTGTATATATATATATATATATCCGTGTCAGTGTAAATTACTTGTAACTGATAGTGACAAAACGTTGTACATTTGCTGTTATGTTAAACTTATATTAAAGTTTTTCTTCATTACCCATTCAAGCTGTCTCCAACCATTATTGGTGTAATGTATGTTTTTAACATATTACTTCCTTAATAGCAGTAATTAACAATATTATATCTAAGTACAATATATTTATATAGATCATGATTTTAATACTATTGATACTATTCTAACTTATTTACTCCATTTTCAGTGAAAAGGAAACCTTATGTTGTAATATACATGGCTCTAATGAGAGCAACTAAATAATAGAAATAGTTAAAACTATATGTTTTACTGTAAATATTTTATTAAAATTTTGATTATTATTATTATTGTACAATAAAGAGGTAATTTTAAAAAAAAAAACCAAATTTTATGAAGATACGTGTTGTAAATTGAGTTCTATTATGTAAAGCTTCATGATTTTCAATTTCATGTTAAATTACTGAACATTGCTTGGAGGGTTAAGAACACTACAAGGTATGCTGTAGAATGTGGATTATTATTTCATTATAATGAGTAACTTGTGTGGACATACTTTATATGATGTAAAAGTAGTTTTACTGGAATGATCAGAACTTAAATGTAAAAGTTCACACATGCGCGCTCACTTCCGAAGTGTACAGAGCTTATAGCATAAATGATTGCATGCTTAAATGTTAAAAATACTTAATGGGGAGGAAAATATTTTTATACAGCTACATTTATCAACACTGGACTAATAGCCCTTAAATGTTGGCATAAATATGGTTCATACCATATTCAACACTGTTGTTATTGGGTACTGATTTGGTTCTTACCATTCCCAATACTGTATGGTTACTGGGCTTAGTTGGTGATAAACATTGGGTATAAATATGGTTCTTTAATTTCTAATACTGTGTGGTTACTGGGCTTAGTTGGTGATAAACATTGGGTACAAATATGGTTCTTTAATTTCTAATACTGT